CTGTATCTTCTTCAGTCCTCAAGAGATCTGTTTCTCCTTTGTCTGGCCTGCCCCACCACCTTTTCCTGGCCACATTTGCAATGTTGCTTCTGGCTCCGCTGTCGCCTCTTGTTCTGGATTTAACAGAGCCAGCCCTGAGGCCAAATTAATTAGCTTGAGCATATAACTGCAATGTTTCCCAGCTCTCCTGCCTCCTGCTCGCAGGAGCACGGGTCCTGCAGGACCAGCCTGCATGCCATGGTCAGAGCTAGCACAACTGCACCACAGTCACAGGTTTTTTTGCTGTCTCCCAAAAAGGACTTTTTACTATTCCCACTAAACTCAGTAGAACTGGGATTTGGCAGCTGCTCCTTCCGCTTAGTCCCTAGAAACTTGTGTCTGTAGGTCCGGACATCACGGGTTCAGGCTGGACTATTTTTTCAGTTGGAGGCCTGTAACCAGTGGTGTCCCCCAGAGGTCAATACTTGGTCTAGTTTTGTTCAACATTCAACACTGATGAATACATCAACGACTTGGATGAGGGGACAGAGTGTTGACATTCAACACTGATGAATACATCAGTGACCTGCATGAGGGGACAGAGTGTATCCTCATGAGGGCTGGCTGACCCTCAAAGGACAGTGCTGCTGTCCAGCATGACCTGGACAGGCTGGAGAACTGTGACCCTCCAAAGGACAGTGCTGCCATCCAGCATGACCAGGACAGGCTGGAGAACTGGGCAGAGAGAAACCTGATGAGGTTCAATAAAGGCATGTGTAGGGTCTTGCACCTGGGGAGGAAGAATAGTTCAATAAAAGCAAGTGTAGGGTCTTGCACCTGGGGAGGAAGAATGCCAGACACCAATATAGGTTAGGGGTGGACCTGCTGGAAAGCATTTCTGAGGAGAAGGATCTGGGGGTCCTGGTGGATAGTAAACTATCCATGAGCCAACGATGTGCCCTTGGTGCCAAGAGGGCCAATGGGATCCTGGGCTGCATAGGGAAGAGTGTGACTGGTAGGTTGAGGGAGGTCATTCTCCCCCTCTACTCTGCACTGGTGAGGCCACAACTGGAATACTGTGTCCAGTTCTGGGCTCCCCATTTCAAGAGAGACAGGGAACTACTGGAGAGAGTCCAGTGTAGGGCAACAAAGATGACTGAGGGATTGGAGCATCTCCCTGATGAGGAAAGGTTGAGAGAGCTGGGACTCTTTAGCCTGGAGAAAAGAAGGCTGAGGAGAGACCTTATTAATGCTTATAGGTATCTAAAGGGGTGTTTGAGGGAGGATGGAGCCAGACTCATTTCAATGGTTCCCAGTGACAGGGCAAGAGGCAACGGGCACAAGCTGCCTGTTCCATGGGAAGTTCCACTCCAATCTGAGGAAGAACTTCTTTGGGGTGAGGGTGGCAGAGCCCTGGAAGAGGCTGCCCAGGGAGGGTGTGGAGTCCCCTTCTCTGGAGATCTTCAAGCCCCACCTGGATGCCGTCCTGAGTGATGTGCTCTGGGCAACCCTGCTTTGGCAGGGGGGTTGGACCAGATGATCTCTAGAAGGTCCCTTCCAAGTCTGACAATTCTGTGATTCTGCCAGGATGGCTGGGAGCACAGGTTACAGTGATGATGAAGGGGTGGGAGAAGACAAATCCTTGCCACCTTCCTTGCACTAGGGACCCAGCCCCACTCTTGTCTCCACCTGCTGCAGCTGAAGGCAGAGGCAATCCCTCCATCTTTCCATGTTCCCTCGGGTCCCAAAGGCGTTGACCCGCTGTTTTATCTGAAAACTTCTCGTTTGAGATGTGATCTGAGAAAAAAAGAGCATCCCTTTTCTTTGGGGTATATATTTCCCCCTGCACATCTTCTTACAGCCTGGGCTGTTTAAACATCAAAAGTGCTTGCGTAAATATATACAACGAGGTGAAGTGATTAGGGTAATCCAATGCAAATTTCAAAGACTCCGAGCAGATCTGAGAAATCAACGCTGTCCTGAGTTTTATTTCCACAGCCTGAATGGAAACAATATAACCCAAACACAGGTTGTGCTTCAAAGAAAAGCAGTGTTGAAATTCTAATAAAGGGGGATCTAATAAAGGGGGAGGATTGCTGGAAGGTGGGGAGGGGAAGGCGGCCGGGGCATTTTATTCGTTCATAAACGCCTTAAAAATGTAATAGCGTCTCCGCGAGCGCTGAGGCACTCGTTTTCCATTAACTTTTGCCATACGGTATTTTCACCCAGCCTCTATTCGTCCCCAGAGCCTGACTTCAGCCTCCTCTCCCTCGATGCTCCCTCTCTCTCCGCCGCATCGGCCCCGCCATGGCTGGGGGCGGGAGACACCTAAAGGCGTCCCGGGGAAGGACAGCGCTCCCCCGGGCAGCCACCCCCTCCTCCGGGGGTCCCCGGGGACGAGGGTCCCTGGTCGGCAAGAGGAAACCCAGCAGAAAAGCTTAACCGCGGTGCCCAGGTTCGCTGGGGGCAGAAAGGGCATTGGTGGCCAAAGCCCCTGCAGCAAGCCCAGGTGTCTGGTGACTACCGGTCCCGAAGTGTTCGTGGCCCGAGCGTCCGTCCTTGTCCCCCTTGTGTTCCTGCTGGAGGGGATGGTGGAGAAGGGAGTTAAGATGCAGAGGTCTCCCGTTTGATGGGGGTGTGAGAGAGCCTCGTTAAAACATCCACTGCGGATTCAAACTTTCCCTGCCTGCTGCAAGGAGCAAGTTGGGAAAAAAAGAAGCTCCTGGGCTCTGGAGCTGCCAGAGCAGGAGCAGCTGCCTTCCTGTGAGGGAAGCGTGGTGCAGAGCAGATGGCACATCTGGTCCCTGAGCCAGGGCTGAATCTCCTACCCCTTTCCCTTCCACGTTTTCCACTGACACCCAGGGCAGATCCACAGCCCAAAGTGTTCGTTTCCTCCATCCCCATCACTTCCACCCAAAGTGCAGTGGTCGCCTCACCAGGGAGCTGATGGAGAGGTGGCACATCAAGGCTAGGAGTATTTCTTTTGTTAGTTCTGAGTACAGGTGTTTTCATAAGGAAAAAAAGGTACATTTTTGGATCAATATTAGGTGAACAGTTCAGAAATAAAAGCCTTTCCTTCAGAAATGTAAATCATCTGGACTGCTCTGACACCTTCATGGTTCTAACGATCTTTAAGCACTGTCTTTTTGCTGTCTGCAAAGCAACCGTAGCTTGACCTGTGAAGGACAATTATTTCAAGTGACCTGGGGAAGCAATAAAAATGCAAAGACAAAATGGAAAGAAATATCTATGTGAACATTCATGCTACTATTTTTATTTGCATGATAGAGATCATCAACCGGCTCTGTATGATCTTTCCACTCCCTAGAAATTGCAATGTTCCACTGTAGCAAATGCACAGAGTTTAAGGTCAATGTCAAGTCATAAAACAGCTACAAGTACAATTTTAGCATTTGCAATTATGAGCAAAACAAGCAAAAAGGTACTTCGTACTCCATCTGGAATTCAACTCACTCTGTACACAGTGTTAATAAAATACAGATGCAACTCCGGCCAGTGGTAATCGAAAGTCATTAACATCAGAAGCTGTTCAGTGACCTGTATGAATTGTATTTTGTTGGTCTTAGCCCAGTGCCCATTAGACAGACATCTACATTACAGCCACAGCTTTTGTGTCACTGGCAGGGACCAAGGGCTCTAATGCATTTTTGGAAGTGGAGCTAATCACTTCTGGACACCGTGAGGTCCCTCCTCCCCAGCACCGCTCGTGTTCATAACGGTCGTGGTCTCTGAGGGCAGAAAGTCCATCTGCAGGGCCAGTGGGTAAATAAAAGAATGCAAATATCCATGGACCAACTGAGGGAACCGTGACTGATGTAAGGGCAGCGAGTGAAAACTATCAGACCGTCTGTTTTGTGTGGAGAGGGGTGGTACCTCTTCCCCACCTGCCCATCCAGCAGCATCCCCTGGGCTGACTGCAGTCAAAGGCATTGCTGCAGACAAGAGACACGGTGTGTCTGCCAAGCAGCTTTGCTATCTAATAGAGCTATCAATTAGAAGGAAAAGATTTGTAAGCACACTTCCTTTTTCTGCTGTGCAACTTCTCCCCAACCTGCCTGTGATTTTTCCTCCATGGGACGCTGCTAAATTCAGAGCTCAATACTGTGGCAGCCTCTCCCACACCACTCTGTCCGGTGTGTCCCGCTCTCCACAAACCAGCTTTTACTTGTATTTGGCACGAGGGAGATACCAGTTTCCAGTCCACATTTTTTGCAGGATCACCCTTTCTGAGAAACACCGCCGCTCGCTGCCAGCGGAGCGTGCCTCTGCCTCCACTCAGCCCAGCTTTCAAGCCTCGTTGGATCCGTCTGCTTCAAAGGATGGGGGTGATTTTTCTCCTAGTTTCTGCACGGGTATGACTTGTGGCCATCTCATCCATGCAGGGATGGCCATATGCTCTTGGGTACCAGCAGAAGCGTGATGAGAGAAAAGATTATCATCTTCAAAGAACTGTGTCTGTCATTAGTGCAGCTGCCACCGTAACAGCACAGGGCCAGCCAGCTTCACCTTCTCCTGTTAAGACTCACTATTCTTCTCTGATGAGACCTTTTGCACTTAGATTTGTCATGCACCTCACAGGTTGGAAAGCACATCCTGAGCCATTAAATCCCCCCAGTCCTATCTCGAATATTATGCTTTGCAGACAAATTTCTTTAAGGCATTTCTGTGAAAATACAAGTAAATTTGGTTTTTAAGGCTGTAAGGATCTGGAAATATGTATTTCGTTCAATGAGATGCTTCAAAAAGAGTACAAAGCTTAGCAAGTGAAAATAAAATAGGTCTGATTTATACAGTAATACAGTAAAAAGGCTGTGCAGGAAAAATGCAAACAATCATTTTATATGTGTTTATGCACATTAACTCTCTAAGTGATTATACAGTCTCAAACATCTAGATTTTCATGGGGTTTTGTAATGCTTCAAAGGAATATAGCTGCAAATAGACAAGTATAAGTTTCATCTCTCATTTCGGTAACAGCAAATGCATATTTTTTCTTTCAGAAGCTGCCTCTTCTGTCAGTTGTACTTACATTTTCCTGCTTTTATGCTGATAAAATTCCACTGACGTCAGCTGTACCAAACCTTCATGCTGGATAAACGTGGGAGCAAGAAGAGAATCGGGGTCATACACAACAAACAAATGTCAATCATCAGGGAATAAGTGGGGTCCTTAGCCCGCTCAGAGGAAAGGTAAGTGGAAGGGCCTTTGTATAACTTCCTGCATGCTCAAAGGTAATATGTGGATGGCTCCAGCTAAATAAAAGTGCTTTTTTTTGCCTTCTTTTTAGCTTGTGTGCTCTCAAAGGAAACAGTATTGAAAAGGCTAAAGCCACTGACATTTTGGTGGTGTGAGAGAGCGAGAATGTAAGCCAGAAATTAATGGAAATGCTCCCCTAAGTATATGATCCATTAAGTTGTTTTGCAACGCTGAGAAATGAAGCGTAGAGTATTTTGTTCAAGTCAATATCCCATGGGGATGAAAGCAAGATTACAGTCTTTCAATGCAATGGGCCAAGCCCTGCCAGTAAGCACGTAGGTATAAATCCAGCGTGCCCCCAGTTTAGTTAAAGGAACTGAGGCAAGTGGGGACTAACCCAGGGCCTGTACCCCCAGTTTGGATGCCTCTGGGCCAGTGTGCCCAGTGCTGTGAACCAGCTGGTGGCAGCCCACTGGCCCATGTGCTGGCAGATGTGTTGATGCAGATGTGTTGATGCAGGAGCAATGTAGGACATCACGGGCTCCTCCTGCCTGCTCCCAAGTGGGGGATACCTCGTTCAGTGCTAGGATTTACTGTCGTTTTCTGAGTGACTTTTCGTTTTATTCTGACTGCACGGCGTTGCTTACCCTGTCAAGAAAACAGGGTACCCCGTTCAGTGGAAAAAGGAGGTTGCATTATTATTCTGCAAACAGCATTTATAAAATTCAGTCATTAACACTGCCCACAGCTCTAGCATCAAAGGATGGCGTTTCACTCTGTCCCAGCAGAACAGACTGATGACCAGTTTTCACTGGTTTGCATCTGCTGCTGCCTTTTTTCCTACAACTACTGACTACCTTGACACTGTAGTTGTGTTGCTCAGCAGCTTCTCCTCGCTCTGCCAGGCGTTTAGCTATTCAGTTGACGTTCTTTTCTTCTGCTTTGCCTGCAGACCTGAAGGGCAGGAAGAGGACCTCCCAGGTGTGGCCTGAGATAGATCTGAATCGGTGCTTTCAGGGGTGCTCAGCTGCAGCAGGTTTTCTTTTCAAACAACTCAAAGGATGAAATAAATAAAACTAACTCTCTGGGGGCTTCCTTTACATTGCATACCTGAAACCTGGATAAAAAGAAAAGCCAGGCATTAAAATAGTGCCAGCTTCAAAAAGTTGTTGGCACCGACGGAACGTGGCTGATCAATGGTGTTTTGTTGCTACAAGGAGAGCATTAACTGAAGCTGTTTCCCCTTGGTCTGCTGCCAGGGACAGCAGCAGAGGTCTCTGAGGAGCTCAGGAGGAAAGGCAAAGGAGCCTAGAGGAATTTCTTTGTGGCAGTGACTACAGACCAAGAGAAACCTCTCAGCCATGTACATTTTTTACAGCCAAAAGCTTTAGTAAACATTAAAAGCAGGCAGCACACTGTTGAAAAGAAAGGCAACTCAGTCCTCAAATCCCCTTTTCATAGTGTTCTGTCTTCAGGTTTTGTGAAATGGCAGGGGAGACGAAACACATCTGAAGACAGTTCGGTACCTCTCCATCGTTCCTTCTGCGTTTGACATACTGGGATCTAAAAAACAGCAGAATCATGAAACAGGTTTCTCTCTCCCCATTGAGAGTTCAAGAATCAGAGAATCAGAGAATGGTTTGGGTTGGAAAGGACCTTAAAGATCATCTTGTTCCAAGCCAATGATCTGGGCAGGGACACCTCCCACCAGAGCAGGTTGCTCCAAGCCCCATCCAGCCTGGCCTTGAACCCCTCCAGGGATGGGGCAGCCACAACTTCCCTGGGCAACCTGTTCCAGTGTCTCACCACCCTCATAGTGAAAAACTTCTTCCTAACATCTAATCTAAATCTCCCCTCTTTCTGTTTAAAACTGTTACCCCTTGTCTTGACACTATACTTCCTGACAAAGAGTCTCTCCCCAGCAATCCTTTAGGCCCCCTTCAGGTAATGGAAGGTGCTAGAAGGTCTCCCCGGAGCCTTCTCCAGGCTGAACAACCCCAGCTCTCTCAGCCTGTCTTCATAGAAGAGGTGCTCCAGCCCTAAGACCTGAGCACGAGTTTTACCCTAGCGAGGAGCCTTACCTGAACACAGCAAGACCTTTGTCTGTGAAGGTTATGGTGCCTTGACCTGGGATTTCCCAGGTGACCCCCATATTAGAGGTGCAGCAGGTTTGATGCTTCCAAAAACTGACATGTGCAATGCACTTCTGGAGAACAGACTTACGGGTCCTGCCCAGCGAGACCGATGTTCCCAAGGTCCAGAGGCAGCAAACCTGCTCTCCTCTCCCCGTGGGACCAAGGGGTGTGTGCACAGCGACTGCAGACCTCACTCGGGCTTTTCTAGGGGAGGCTTCACCCTCTGCTGTGAATAAATAGGTCAGGAAGCCACAGTGTCAGACTTGCAACATCAGGCCAGATGTTGAGAGACTGCTGCACACAAGATGGCTTTAGGGCACCCTGTGCTGTCTGGTACAGACATACCCAACGGTGCTTCCGCCCACCTGGCTCAGGTGCCACCAAGGCTGGGGAACCTGGGGGCTCATCCACTGGCTTTGGGATGGCTTTTTTTACCACTTCACGGCTCAATCAGGTTTGTTTGCAGAAGGTGAACCCCCACAGATGAACCACACAGCTGGCACACTCCAACCTCTCAGGCAGCAAAGGAGTCCTGTCAGTGGGACTGCTGGTGTGACCAGAAATCACAGTTAGTGAGGGGCAGAGTCAGGACCCCTGTCATTCCACAGGCTTAAAATCACTCTGTCTTTCCAGTTCTGTCACACAGCTTTTGAAGCAATGTGCCCCCACATGGCAGGGGGGTTGGAACAAGATGCCCTTTAAGGTCCTTTCCAAGCCAAACCGTTCTATGATTCTAATGATTTTTAATTTTTCCTCCTGGAAATAAAAAAAAAAGATGCTTTTAATAAACAAGCAGAGCTCCTGGGTGCTGCATCTTTTTAACCAGATGATAGTGTGGGTAGAAACCATCTCTCAATATGGTAACTTTTGCCTTATCTCTAAAGAAACACATTTTCCAGATCAATCAAATATAAAAATACAATTTAAAATGGCTACATTTGGGGTTTGTGAAATTCAGTACATCTTTAGACCATTACTCTTCTCCCCTAAGCTGCAATATAATTTTAATTAATAACCTTCTCCTTCACCTTACAGTATAGGCCCATCAAGACTCCTTTCCTTTAAAAGAAACTGATTTATTTTTTTTTTTGGCTGCTGGGGGTGGGTGAGGAGAAGGAAGAAGGGAGTTTGGCGAGGAAGGAGGATTGCTTTGGTGTGTGTCTTTTCTGTCTGTGCACATAAAATGTAGACAATGAGTAAACCCTCCCCATCTGTGACTGTATGCAGAAGTAGGTTACGTTGCCTGCAGCAATTGTGATAACTCACTTGCCACTTTCACAGAGCTCTCTGCTTTATTAGTTTTATGCTGATAACTTTATACTTACTTTCCAGGCATATAAAAAGTAGGTAATTGAAAACACAAAGGTAGCTTAATATCTGAGTTATCATGCATCTGAAGCCAGATTAACACTATGTTAGCTCTTTCAACTGGCCAGTCATACAGTTTCTGTATCAAGTAACTGACTGTTTTCTGTGTAAATTGGACAAATGACAGAAAGGTCTCTTTTCCTGACGGTGCAAGTTCTGTAATACTTAGGAGCGCAAATTTAAGACCATCTGGTCAGAAGCTACTCTTCTACTGATAAAGGAGCAATGGGATAAACCAGGAATCCTAATGTTTGGATTAGTGGTATTAGTAAAAGCAGAACATTCCATGAATCTGTTGGATCTTCAAAGCATTAAAGAACTCAAGTTTATTTATATCAAAAGCTAATGCTTGCATGGCTTACAGGCACAGATGGAGAAACAGCTTTCACCATTTCGGCCATGATGAAACATTTCACAGTGGCTAACAGAATGCAAGAGTGAAATTAAGGACTTTTTTTTTTCCATGGCAGAAATAACAATGAAGACTGTGGGTTTCTGGTGCAGCCAGATTTCAGGATTAATCAGAACTGACTAAGGTTGGCACGCAATTCCAACACCTCAAAATATATCGCACTGTACAACAGACCTGGGAATTCCTTCTCCCGGAACCTCTACTTAATCTTCCACATCTTCAAAAGGTATTCCTTGGGTCAAGCATCGTATCAGTGTCCTCTTCCCTGCAGAGTGTGGCTGTAGCAGCAAACAGTTCGGCCAGGGGGCCATAAATTTCCAATCAGGGTGGCAAGAGAGGCCTCACGGTGTGTGAAAGCTGAGCTTGGAAAAACTGTTTTCAGATTGGGTCCTTAGAAGTAACATATGATATTTTGTTTTTCATGTAGTAAGGACTGGAATGAAAGATACTCGGTATCTCAGCACATTTCTAACTTCCCCGGGATCAATTGCACAACTCCCTTAATTTAAATGACAGGAAATTATGGTTTGCTTATTTCCTACAGTAAACACAGAGACAATCTGACCTGAGTCTTAAGTGAGGGGGTTTTTAAACCACAGCCACTAATTCTACATTTACATATATTCATTAATTTTGAGTCTCGGAAGGTGGAAAGCCGTGCTGTTAGCAGAAAACCAAAGCACACAAACAGCTTTTTGTGCTGGTGTTTCTGTTCAGCTTCAGAGAGAAGCCTTGTGTGCCGTTAGCTGGGCTTTGCAAGGCTGTGTGCAGCGGCACGGCTCCAGGGAGCGCGGGCTCTGCAACCAGCTGGAGCTCGTGCTCTTTGCCTCCGTCCTTGATTAGACTCGATTCTTTAGGCAGAAATGGCTCCCTGGAAACCAGTGACTGGTGCTGGGCTGAGATTCCCCAGAGAAGAATTGCCTTCTGCTGTTCCCAGCTGCCAGCTCTGGGTAAATCAAAATGAGTTGTCCGACTCTTACCGTGCTGCAAAAGCAACTTAGAAGGCTTCGAATGTTTGATCTCACCTACTAAATGATCAATATGAGTGCCAGAAGGAACATTAACATTGCAAAA